TGTCCCGCCTTGGGTGAGGGAGTGTGAGTTAACCTGATCCCGTAAGGGGGTCGGGATGTAGCCTGTCTTATACCAGGATGAGATGCACAGGTATTCTGGGAAACTGGGTGTTGCTAAGTCAGTCCTGACTGGGCAGGGAGAACTGAAAAGGCCACTGTGAGAGTAACAGTTTGGCTGACGTCAGAGTTGATACTCGGCCAGCATGTTACCATCGCAGCATGAAATCAGGCACCAAGTCTCCTTGGCTTTGGATTTCAGCACAGGGGTCTGGAGCTTATAAACAAATTAGTGAGTTTTTCCTTTTTTTGCTTGGTCTATACGGGATTCATTGGTTCAGCAGGCTTCCTTTCTTGCCACCGCAAGCCTCTTGATGGTCCTGAAAGGGACCCTCGTCTCTCCAGAAGTGACATGATAAATCCTGGTGGGGCCACACTATAAAGCTTTCTCTATTACAAAAGAAGAAAAACCTTGTCCTTGCTCTTGCTAGGTTCATTGTCTGAACTTAACAATTAAACTGACAAGACAGATGAACGGGAGAAAGGCACAGCTTAAGTAACATTTTAAATTTCTCCTGCATAGGGGCCACACAAGAAAAAAGAAAAGGAAACTCAGAGAAGCAGGTACTAGGGCTTTTATACGAACAGGTGTTAGAGTTACCAGAGAGAGACTGGGACTTCTAGGTCTCAGCCCTTGTGGACCTGTGTAGGAAGGAGGAGACTAATGGCAGAGAGGGTGCCTTTCTCCTGTAGAATTGATGCTCTGCCTTCTGTCCACCTATGTATCTGTGTCTGTTCGGTAACCCTCACCTCCACAGGTTTGAGTGTGTGGACACAGCTTTATCAGGTGATACCAGAAAATCAGCAGATGGCTTTTACCTGTGACCAGTGGGTTTGCAGTGAGCCATTCCTCCATGCACTGGAGCTTGGGACCCGGGGTGCCCTGGGCCATGTTGGCCTTCATGGCTCAGGTGACAAGTTCACTCTTTGGCATTGGCCCAGAGGGGAGCTTCCAGGTCTCCAGTAAAACCGGAGAGATGGGAGGGTTCCATAGCAGGAACTGGGAGTTGAGGGGAGAACCAAGGCCTGACCCAGGGCCTCCTGGGTTCCACTCAACTCTCACCACACCCAAAGTAGGAAGTCTGCATCATGACCTAACCAGTGATAGGTTTGTACGCAGCCAGAGCTTAAAGTTTTTGCCAAAGTGTACACATGCTGCTGCTACACAAGCCCACTGTTTAAACTGCTGTCCCTGGCCTCAGCATTGAAAATGGGGATAGGGGGGCCAGAGAGATGTTTCAAGTAGTTATTTACTGTTCTTCCAGATTGCCCAAGTTTGGTTCCCAGAACTTATACTAGACAACTCATAGCTGCTTGTAACCCCAGCACCAAGGGGAGCTAACATGTCTGGCCTCCACATGCCTGCATACTGAAGTGCACATCCTACTTGCAGACATACACATTATCAAAATAATAAAGATAGTTTTTTTTTTTAATGAGAAAATGCCCAAGTATGGCGACTCATAGATATCATTCCAGCTACTCAGAAGGCTGAGGCAGGAAAATCAAAGTTCAGGCCCTACTTGGGTTACAGAGTAAGTTCAAAGCCAGTGCAGATAATGTAGTAAGATGTAACTTAGTGTAAGGTACTCACTAAGCATGCGTGAGCCCAGGGTTCCAGAGGAAATCACTGGAAAGAAGACTTAGGCCAAGCTTAGAACGTTAGCTAGAGGAGTACATGATGATAGGGCCAAGTGACAAGGCAGGCCCGAATTTTCAAGAGAAGTCAGGCAGCATCTGGGAAGCCTATGGCTTCTTCTTCTATAGCTCTGATGGGGGCTGAACCCAGCTGGTAGCTAGGCTCCATCTCTCCTCTGTGACTGACTTTGGGATTTCCCCCAGCACCTTGTCCGGGCCTGGAGTTGATGAGGTCTGGATTGATATAAGCAGACTCTACTGAGATAAGCACAATCCACCCAATTGACCTGTTTATAGGAATGCTTGCCATTCTGTAGTACACAAAAACTGCAAGAAAGTAGAAATGGAAACTGGATCAGGTCCAACCTAGGAAAATACAGCCATCCAATGAAGGACTGGGAGAAAAGGTGAAATAGGAAGTCTAGTTTGAACTCCTTCGATACATTCCCTCCTGTGTTAACCACAGACAGTGAGGACACACAGCCCTGGAGGCTGTCCAAGGTCAAGGCACATCTAGTCAGGGCTGCTTACCTTCTCACAAGTGGCCCCCTTTTTTGCTGTGTTCTCTTGTAGAAGAAGCAGGAACTCAAATCCTATCCAGAGATTAGGCCTTACTCTAATAGCCTAATCACCCTCCAGAAGTCTAGCCCGTCACCTAGGTGGTGGATATCCATCTGTGATCGGGTATTCACTTGGGAATTTTGAGGGATACTCAAGCCTTAGCCACTGATTGATTTGCTGTGACCCCTTGTGACCATAGGGGAAGAGGAGGGGACAGTGGCTTGGAGGGTGAAAAGCTCAGTCTTCAGTGCCAGCTTGGTGAGTGTGTCCTGTTTAGGGAGCCTGGATGCACTCACCAAGCAGGGACCAAGTAATTGTCCTCTTTGCTGGGGGGTGAGCGGAGCTGGCTTAGGGTCACGGGGCTAGAACCAAAAATAAGGAGAAACCTTGGCTATGGCATTTGGTGAATTTGGGGAAGGGGAAGAGTTCTGAACTTTGGTCACTAGAGGGGATATTACCAAATCAGGAGGGTGGGGGGCAGGCTCCCCTGCCATTATCTGGACAAATTTCATTTGGCACAGTGGGGAAGAGGTTGGGATAGGAGGTCAGGAGGGAAAAGGCAGACTTCTGTGTCTGGGCCCCACCTATAGGGCCCAATGCCGATTGGGATTCTCATGGCACCGCCTGGTCTCCATCCCACCAGGGGAGGCTGGAGAAGTCACTGGAGCACTTGCGGAAACAAATGGACGATGCGATGCTGTTCCAAGCCCAGGCTGAGGAAACCTGTGCCTTGTGGCAGGCAGGTGCCGGGTCTGGGGTGAAGGAGGGAGCTTTGAGTCAGTAGCTGGATACCAGACTAGCTGGAGACACCCACCCTTTGGTCAGGCCAGAACATGTGCATGTGTGTAATATATAGGATGCCAAACAAAGTTGGATTCCGTCCTTCTGCCCTGCGTTAAGTTCCTGGGGTCCTGGCATGGGGTCATGAGGGGTCCTAAGGATGGATTTGGATTGGATGTCAGGAGCAGGCCAGGTATGGGGGGGTCTCCACTAGTGGATTTAGAGGAGTCAGGGAGGTATTTGGCATTGGGGTAGATTTGGTCTGTCTATCTTTGTGGTGGCAGCTTTGTCAGGCTGACATGTAGGGATGGGCTTGGGGCCTGTGTGACAGATTTGGGTGTGACTGGTCTCAGGAATGGAACTTGAGTCTGGGTAGCAGCAGGTGGTAGATTGGAGGTCTGATGGCTCAAGGGGTGGGTCTGGGATGTGAATAGCCCATAATTGTCAGCTATGTATCTGAGCAGCCATGGGTGACAGATTGGATATGTTGTCAGCTCTTGGGGTCTAGGCAGCTCCTGGCAGTGTATTCTGTGTCTGACCTTCCTAGGCGGGTGGATTTGAGGTGTGGGCATCCCCAAATGGTCAGTCTGTGTTCCGGCATCAGGTCTCGCCGTCAGCTGTCCTTCTTGTGCCCTACAGAAGATGGTGGAGAGCCAGCGGCAGAATGTGCTGGGTGAGTTTGAGAGGCTGCGCCGCCTGTTGGCAGAAGAGGAGCAACAGCTGCTGCAGAAGCTGGAGGAAGAGGAGCTGGAGGTACTGCCGCGACTGCGCGAAGGGGCTGCGAGACTCGGCCAGCAGAGCACACAGCTGGCAGCCCTCATCTCAGAGCTTGAGAACCGCTGCCAGCTACCAGCGCTGGGGTTATTGCAGGTGAGTGAGCGGAGTGGAATGTCCTGGAGGTTCACGGTACTCCCAAGGGGAACCGGGTGTGCACCTTGCTCAGTATACTGCTTCCTCTCCAGACACACAGGGTCTGCACCTTCCTACTGCAGGGTTGCCACGGGGCATGCAGGACAGCCCCAAACCCTAGCCACTTGCATGCCTTCTGCCTCCACCACTGACACATGCAGGCCATGCTGCTATGTGATGTGTCAGAGAAAGAGAGAGGGAGAGGGGGAGGGAGGGAGGAAGGGAGAGAGAGAGAGAGAGAGAGAGAGAGAGAGAGCGCACTAGCAAAGAATTCAGAATGAGAAAGCATCGACAGAGCTTGTCCATAGCAAATCTGCAGAGAGCCCAGTCTGCACATCTCTCCTGTAAACACCACAGCATCTAAGACAGGTGTCCCAGCATTCTGCCACCCTACCTCACACTCAGTGTTAATAAAAGAAAGAGAAGTAGTCTTTGGTATCCATGGGGATGGATACCAGCCCCCCAAGGCTCCCAATGGGAGTGCACCAACCAGTTCCTTGAATGAAAGGGTGCAGCATTTGCTTATCAGCCGCATGCATCCTCTGCCTGCCTTCAGTCACTACTGGCTGACCTGAGACCCTGAATATTCTGAACATGCTGTTAAATAGCTGCTGCTCTGTATTTAAGGAATAATGAGAAGGGCAAACCTCATGTGTTCTGTCCAGATGTGATTTCACTTTCAGTCCACAGTCGGTTGAGTGTTCAGGTGCAGAGTGAGGGCATACAGTAAGGCGGACCTCGTAAGAAGTCCCAGCATTCAGCTTCCTATTTTCTCAGGCTGGCTGACCACGGTTGCCGTTCTCTATGGACAAAGCAGAATGGATGTGGATCAGCCTGTGTACCTTGGGGGGCAGGATACACCTTGTTTAGCTCTGGGGGATGCTTTTTGTCCCTTGTTGATTACTCATTCTTATTCCTGGGCCCCTGAGAGCTCTCGGTAGGACTCCCACCCCAAAGCTTTCAGCTTACATCCATACTCCCTACTTCCCGCTCACCCCTGGATGTCCAGTTATCTTTGTAGGGGGGCGCCCCCACCATTTCTGTTACAGCAATGTGAGGCTGGGGAGTTGAAGTCAAGCAGCAGCCTCTGATAGGGGCTCTTGGAACCCTCAGGACAAATCACTTCAGAAAAGTCCTCCTCATAAGACCTCATGGTAGGGATTAAATTCTGATGTGCATCTTGATGGAGACATTTAAACTGTCCAAGTCCCTTAGCGCCTCTCTTCTTCTAATTTTTTTGTTTTTTGAGTTCTCCCCAAGATGTATGCGCCAATCCTTCTCTTCTCTGAATCTTGCTTTCTCCTCATTTTCCCCAAACCAGAACACTCAGGTCCCCTGTCCTCTGTCTCAGGCCAGTCTAGATGACCCTAGAAAGTGTGGCAGTTAGTTCTAGGCCCTATCTGTGTGTGCTGGTAACTCCTCTTAGCTGACATGCTCTATAGCACAGAGTTGATTTCCACCCCCCTGAATAGATGTGTCTAAGGAGGCCTCTTCCCTACTCTGAAGTCTAAGGCTCTCCTGTAACCCCAGCAAGGAAAGTCTTGTGCCATCCTTGCCTCGGGCCATGTGACCACCAATGCCCCCAACACACCTGTTTCCTAATGGATGGGAGACAGGAGATTTCATCCACTCTGCCCACATCAGGCTCATGGTGCTCCAGGCTCATACACATGTATCCTCCCCTATGTCTTCCAGGGAATCGACATTTACCTTCAGAGCCCTCTCTTTTGAGGCCTTTGTGATCTGTTGTCTCCCAGAAAGAACTTGCAAGTACGATCCCATCTGCAGGGGCCTTCTCCCTTGACAGGGACTGTGTTTATCGTGTCTGACAAGAAGGCCAAGGCTTGTAGGAACTGGCTAGCTGCATGCGTTGTTCAGCTCCCCTGCCACATACAGTGCCATAGGCTGGGTGCCTGATACACAGAACGTTACTTCCTTATGATTCTAGGGACTGGATGAAGAGGACAGGGTTTCAGCAGAGCTAGTGTGTTAGTTTATTGTGTTGCTGTGAAATACCTGAGGCTGGGGGCCGAAAGTCAAAGCAGCATGCTGGCAGCTTGGGTGGGTGACACCTTAGCTGTGTTGTGTTATGGCACTTTGGCTGTGTCATGTTATGACAGTGGCATCATACTGTAAGGGGCTGAACAAGGGAGAGTGCTTGGTGAGATGGGGCCTAGAGGAAAGGACCAGCTTGCTGTTAATTCTCCTAAGAGCTATCCAAGGTCCACGTGAACTGTATTATATTAATTCCTTCTAAGGATAAGCCCCTGATACTTCCCTTTAGATGGCACCTCTTAAAGGTCACACTACTTCTTGACAAATCTTCATAGGATTCAAATTCCCACCACCTATCTAAGAGGCCAGTCACCCCAGCCAAATTATGGAGATTAGTGTCTCTGGAGGTCTCTCTCCTGGTTCAAAGATATCCATCATCTCCCGTGTTCCCACTTGTCACTCAAGTCATCAGTCCTGCTGTTACCATCAACTGACTGGGGACTGCTCTAGTGAGATAGAGATTCTGGGTTGGCAGGGAGCTCTTATTTCTCTTGGTGTTTGGCAGAAGTGAACAGTAACAGCAGGCAACAGCACGTGGCACTCTCTGGTGTCCTTGGGTGTAGGACATCGGGGGCCTTGAACCCACAACTGTAACAGTTCTTGTATAAGGGCCTAGGGAGTAGAGATTCGTCCCTATGGCAGGCAGTGCTGTAGCTTCCAGGCAGGCCTGGGTATCGAGATTCCTTGACCCTTAACACCAGCCAGTGTTGAGCCCAAGGTGTCACTCAGAACCTTGACTTTAGGTTTATACATCTCCCTGGAACTCTTACTGGCAGCCAGGGCCGGATGTTTCCGGGATCTTAAGTCCTTTTGTTTTTAGCTGAGGCTCACTGCCATCTATCCCTCTGCTTTATTTATTGACGTTCTCCCTCCTGCCCTGACCACTCAGCTGCTGCTTCACACTCAGCCAGCTGATGGGGCAGCATCTACCATCTCCGTTGCTTCTCTTTTTAATATTACCAGCTCAGCCTATGCCACTACAGTTAGGTGAGAAGAGACCACAAGGGCCTGTTGGGCCTGTTGGGACACCTGGGAAATGGGCAGGAGGGTGCCTCTGAACCTGCATGCATGCCATGGGAGCTGAACAGCCTGTTTTATAGCCAGAGACGGGGGTTTTGTATCCGTCACAGCTAGAGAAGGGATTTTGTATCCTTCGAAGCCTGCCTCTGGGCACCAGTCACCACTGCCCACTAGGCCACCAAGGGAAATGCTACCTAGAGTTCATGGAGGCAGAAAACTGCTACAGGCTGTTTTGGCTGAGGCTGTGCCTTCAGGAGCAGTGAGAACTTGAAATTATTAACACTAATAGTGACTTTTGTGGCCTTGGTTGTCCTGAAACTCACTCTGGAGACCAGGCTTGGCCTTGAACTCACAGAAATCTGCCTGCTTCTATCTCCTAGTGCTGGGACTAAAGTCGTGCACCACCGCCTGGCTGTGACTTTTTTTTTTTTTTTTTTTTTTTCAGAAATGTTGATTTTCTAAGTTTCATACACGTGTGCCACAGATGCTGATTGTGTCCACTCCCACTGCCCCCAAAACCCCAGTGCACGCTTTTCCCATCTTCTTTTCTTCCCTCTCTTCACTCTTTCATTTAAATGATCTCCTAAGTCCAGTTCATGTTGCCCATATATGCTGGGCAACCTGGCAGCAGCCTAATGAGCCCCTCCTGCATCGTGCTGGGGAGAGCCAGGATGAGGTAACTAGACTCGGTACTGAGTGTACCCTTTCTTCCTCCTACAGGACATTAAGGACGCCCTGTGCAGGTATGAGCCTGGGCAGCTGGGCAGGATGTGGGTGGGGCCCAGCTGCTGGCCTCAAGCATGAAGTTGAGCTGTCCCCTGTCCTGTGCAAGATGTGAAGCTGCAGCCTCCAGAGGTGGTGCCCATGGAGCTGAGGACCGTGTGCCGGGTCCCAGGGCTGGTGGAGACCCTGCGGAGGTTCCGAGGTGGGTGTTCAGTCCTGGGAGCAGAACTGTCAGGAGACCCTAGGACTTGAAGTGGATTCAGTAGCTTAGAGTAGCAGTTCTAGAAACTTTCCTCTGTTCTAGACATGTTACCATGCATGGATATTTTCCAAACCTCCATCAGGCCCAGCCCCACAAGACTGCCCTTACTTCAGTGCCACTTGCAAGATCCAGGGGTTGCCCATATTTCTGTCTCCCTCCTTTTCCTCCAAAGTCCTCACAGCCCCTACCTGATGTTAGATAATTTTAAAAGGTGGCTCACTAAAGCCAGGAGACACTTTGCTTAGTATTAACTGTTATAAAAGCTGCAGTTGAGGAAGCGAGGTGGAGGATGGGCACAGAGCCTTCCTGCCCTTGCTGTACACCACCCTTCTGGAACTTTGATGAGTTCTCCAGCTCAGTGTGCCAGATCACTGTGAGCAAACTTGATGCCTGGCTCCTCTCCTCTTCCTGGAGCCAGTGAATGGGGCTGAAATTCACATCCTTCTGTCCCACAGCTGGCTGTGTGACCAGCCCCATCCTGATGTCATCAGCACCACCTGAGCCATCTTAGTAGCTTAAGTTCAGGTGTGATGTCAGGGAACTCCTAAAATTGGCAAAGCAGGCTGGGCGTTGGTAGCGCACACCTTTAATCCCAGCACTCGGGAGGCAGAAGCAGGCGGGTCTCTGTGAGTTCGAGGCCAGCCTGGTCTCCAGAGTGAGTGCCAGAATAGGCTCCAAAGCTATACAGAGAAACCCTGTCTCGGAAAAAAGAAAAAAAAAAAATTGGCAAAGCAGGTTTTCAGGCCTTCCTCCAAAGCCAGGGCGGACTCTGTTGCCAAGCCTTGTTTGTCCAGGGGACTGCTGCCCTTGGTTCTAGCCAAAGGCCAAGGGGTTGGGGGCATGCTAGGCCCAAAGGTAGGTAGACTAGAAATCACCTGGGACTGTGACAGCAACTCTCCTCCCAAACAGGTCTGTGTGTTTTCCCAGAGAAAAAAGAATGCAGCAGGGCCCAGTGTGTAGCTGTGGCTCAAACTCAGTCTTCCATTATAGAGTAAAAGAAAGAACAAATATAGAAAGTGGGGGCCAGGACATGGTGTGGACAGAAGCATCCACACTTCAAGGTCACCCTTGACTATGTAGCAAACAAGTCCATCCTGGGCTACATGAGACCCTTTCTCAAAAAAAAAAAAAAAGAGAAAAAGAAAAAAAATGTAGCCAGAATGCCCTCTTGTCATCAAAAGTAATGTAGGAGTGGTTTCTAGAACATTCTGGGTTCAGATAGAGCTAGGTGTCTTCTCAGGGAGGGGATGTTCTCCACTGGGGAGAGAGTTACTTAAGCCTGATGATCTAGCAAACAGGAGCATGGGCTGCCGGGGAGGGCTTAGCTGATGGCCAAAGTGGATGGGGGCTGATTTGGGAGTATGGTTGACCTTGGGCCTCTCCACAGGGGACATAACCCTGGACCCAGACACTGCCAATCCAGAGCTCGTCTTGTCTGAGGACCGGAGGAGTGTGCAGCGTGGTGACCAGCGGCAGACCCTGCCTGACAGCCCAGAGCGTTTTGACCCAGGCCCCTGTGTGCTAGGTCAGGAACGCATCACCTCTGGCCGCCACTACTGGGAGGTAGAAGTTGGGGACCGCACCAGCTGGGCGCTTGGCGTGTGCAAAGAAAATGTCAACAGGAAGGAAAAGGGGGAGCTGTCAGCTGGCAACGGGTTCTGGATCCTGGTGTTCCTGGGGAGTTTCTATAATTCCACTGAGCGGGCCTTCTCCCCACTACGGGACCCTCCTAAGCGTGTAGGCATCTTTCTGGACTATGAAGCTGGTCATCTCTCATTCTACAGTGCCACAGATGGGTCGCTGCTGTTTATCTTCCCTGAGACCCCCTTCTCAGGCACACTCCGACCCCTCTTCTCACCTTTGTCTAGTAGTCCGACCCCTATGACCATCTGCAGGCTGATAGGCGTACCTGGGGACACCACTGGTCCCCAGTGACCCAGACCCTCTACAAGAATCCCTTCACCTCTCTTGGTTCCTTGTCCTGACCATACTGAGGCCCAGGAGCCAGACAGTGTCCTGTGAGCATTAGGAGAAGCAGTGCCTTTCTGAGCACACGTGGGAACACAAGCTCTCAGTCTCTCTGACAGTAAGAGTGGGAGTACACTGGGCTGGGCTCTGTCCTCGTGGCGGGGATCCTCTCCACCACTGATGTCACTTAGTGCCAAAAGCCCTCACCAAAGCACTAAGTCCCATGTGTCACCAGCACCTCTGACTTGAGGTTCCAGTGATGTGATAGGCTTTTCCAGAAGTAATCCGGACCTGTCCACACTGCTGTGCCAACAAGCACGCCACGCCATCCCTGAAATGAATCTAGGTAAGGTTAGGTAGGAGCCAGTTTCAAGCTCACCAGCGTCTCAGGATTTGGTCCAGTAGATGGGAGGGCTGCTCAGAGTCCTTGTCATGCTAGGTGTGGCCACAGTGAAAGATGAAAGGGTAGTAGCTTGGCCCCAGATGATGAAACAGTCTGGTGGGGACTGAATCCTAAATGAGTCCTCTACATTTGTATTTAGGACATAAGGGGCCCAAAAGCAGAACTCAGACATGACACTTGAACATGCCCTCCTGTTCTGAGACTTGTCTGGTTTTGCCCTCAAAGGGGCTTCCCTGGTGTCTGACAAGCTTTGGTACACTGCCGGTGGCTGCCTGCCTTGCAGAGTGAGCTACACAGTCCCTCCCGAGTGCACAGGAGCCAGCAGGGACTGCTTTTGTATGACACTTGCGGGAGTTTTATCTTTTATTTATTGAAAGGAAACATTTAAATAAACAGTCATCTGCAACAGTGTCCTCTGCTTATCCTATGGATAAATAACTGGGGCCTTGGCTTGGTAAGGTGGCTCAGCAGTTAAAAGCACCATTCTGCTTTGGCTGAGTTTGAACTGACTTGGGTCTCAGCTCCCAAGTTGGGCAGCTTATAACTGCTTATGACCCCCACTCCAACGAATTACACATCTGGCTTCTGAGGGCATTTGCACTCACATGCTGCATAAAACCCTCTCTTGCACACATAAAAAAAAAAAATAAAAAAAAAAAAAAAAAAAAACCCTGATAGGCCAGGCGGAGGCAGACATGGGGTGGTTAGGTTGTCACTGGGAAGCACTGACTCCCAGGTGGCTCACAGGTCACCAGACGGAAGGCAGACAGCTCTTTCTTACACAGGCACGGCAAGCTGGAGGTTCCATGTGTTCTTTATTCCACATGTGTGTTGAGTGTGTATGGCACGGAAAGGACTTGGTTTCCTGGGGTTAGTGGGTACTTTCTCATAGAGCGCATCTTCAACTTGCTCCTGCCCTGTAACCAGCTCTGTTTTGAGGAGGACACTTCCTCCGTGACACTTCCACATATTTGTTCCAGGCAGGGGATGTCTAGCAGGTGAATGTAACACCTGTGTCACCTGGCTGTGGCTTGTAGACAGTGTGCTGCATTTTTGTAATTTCTGGGGCAAGGAGACTCTGGCAAACAGATGGGGCAGCCATGTGTTTGAGACCAACATGTTCTCATAGCCCTAGCCGTGGCTTTGGAGAAGAGCTGAACACAGGTTCTGAGGAAGGATGACGTCCATGGCCAAAGCCAGATACTGGGTTCTGTAAGTCTAGTGTTGTACTACTGGCTAAAGGGGTTCCTGGGGAGAGGCCCTAGTCAAGGAGTGTACATACAGCAGGAACTCCCATGGTGGAGTAGACGCCACACCAGTCACATCAGTGAGACTGAAGGACATAGATGAATGTAGTGGCTGAGCCCTATCCCAGCAGTGGGGTGAATTCTGAAATGAGAAGTTGCTGGAAAACCAGATGTTGGTTGAGAAAGATCTCATAAAAGCCGAGCAACCTAAGTAAAAGTCTTTTCATACAGGTTCACATCAAAATTGTAGCCAACCTAAGTGAATTAAAGTTGAAGGAAGAAAGGAAGGAAGGAAGGAAGGAAGGAAGGAAGGAAGGAAGCCAGGCAGTGGTGGTGCATGCCTTTAATTGCAGTACTCAGGACACAGAGACAGGCAGATCTCTGTGAGTTCAAGGCCAGCCTGAAACTCAAGGAGTTTCAGGACAGGCTTCAAAGCTACAGAGAAACCCTGTGTCAGAAAACAAGAAAGGACAAGGAGGAGGAGGAGAGGAAGAAGAAGGAGGAGGAGGGAGACGACAACTCTGGTCTTCTGCAAGGGCCACAAGTGCTCTTCACCACTAAGCCATCTCTCCAGCTCATTTGTTTCCTTGATAGTCTGATGAAAGCAAGATAGAACTTCAGTGTAGTTGCTATTTTGTTTGAGGCAAAGTTTCACTATGTGGATCAGGTTGGCCTTGAACACACAAATATATGTGCCTCTGCCTCTAGAATGCTGAGATTAAATTGCAAGAGCTACCTCACCTAGCCCCTCAATGTACTTTGGTTTGCTTTTCTCTTGTAGCTAAGGATGTTGACTATTTTCATGTGTTTATTGGCTATTTGTACTCCTTTGACAGTTTGTTTAATTCATATTCCCATCTATTGATTAGATAATATGTTGTTTTAGTTCTTCACATATTCTGGATATTGATCCTCTATCAGATGACTAGCTGGCAAAGATGCTCTCCTATCTGTAGGCTCTCTTCACTCAGACCGTTGCTTCCTTTGCTGGGCTGAGGCTATTTGATTTTATGCTATCCGTTTGTCTCCCAGAGGGTTCCTATCCTGCCATGTACCCAGAGGCAGGAAGAATCGGGCAGGAAATTGAGCTCCAAAGAGAAGTGCTTGGTGTTTCTGGAATGCTTGGGGTTAACTGTTCAGAGATCTCAGATATAATTGGGACAGGTGGGCTTGAAGTCAAGGTTCCCACAGAATTTGTGCATCTGTTGTTTTAGCTGTTATCTCATTCTCCCGCCCTCTGGTTTTCATAATTGGCTTGAGAACATCTCATTTTGTCTTTTATCAGTGCCATCCACTAGGATGTGACACAGTCAGGGGGCCCTCACCAAAGGCAGGATAATGGGGGTGCACTTTGGACTTTCAGCTCCCAAACCAGAAGGAAATGATCCTCTTCATTCAGCACCCTCGGGTGCTGTATTAGAGCAACCAAGAACTAACAAACCAAGGAACATCTGTGCATAGGCCCTGGTGAAATCACAGAGCAGTGGGGAGGCAGAGTCAGTGGGAAGACGGAAGAGGTGGAAGTCAGTTGCACTCTTGAGATCAAGGTACCAGAAGTGCAAAAAGACCTAAGGACAGTGATCAGTAAACAAGTTGGTTCCAGCCTGGGTGCTCTCAAAAAGCAGAGACAGTGCTGACCAGTGCCTCAAAGCCTCTCAGCCACAGGAGACTAGGCAGAGCAGCAATCACTGGCACCCAGCCATCAGCAAGCGTGGGTGTGGCTTGCTCCCTGGACATCTGCATCCACAGTGCTCTAGTCAGTCAGACATCTGCATCCACAGTGGCACAGTGGCACAGCTCTAGTCAGTTGGACATCGGCATCAGCAAGGCTCTACTCAGTCTTTGACCAAGTGGAAGATCAGGAGGAACCACTGTCCAGGAACACTCCAGGTTTTCATCAGACTCCATTTGGAATTGCCGGCTCATGACCATTATTTCTGTCCACGGGCCTGACTCTAGCTCAAAGGGCTGTCCCCAAGGTTGGATTCTGCACTCTTAAGAAAAGTGACTTCCTTGACTGCTTCTGGATGTCCCCGCCTGAGCTTGTGCAGTCCTGATGTGGACTGTCCATCAGGCATCTAAATGTTGCAGGGTTGCTTTTCAGTGTGGTGCTACTGGAAGTTAGGACCTTAGAGAGTTAAGGCCCTGTGGGGAGGTCCCTGGGACCAGCCCTCCAGAGAGCTGGTAAAATCTTTTGGATCCTGGCCAAATAGAATGGTTTTTACCTGCTCTGAGAAGAGGCAGTGATGGGTTCCTAACCACAGGCTCTGGTGAGACCCTGAGCAATGGGACTATTTCATCAGGACATCCATATGTAAAAGCATGGGATCCAGGGCCACAAACAGTATAGGTAATGTTGAAGGATGGCCTGGTTTTCACCATGGGCATGAACCAGGGATCCCAAGACAAGACCTAGATAAAGACCCCAGGGATTCATGGCCAGCAGTAAAACACACACACACACACACACACACACACACACACACACACACTTGACAGATTTGTTTATGTATGAGTGTTTTGTCTGCATGTATGCCTTTATGCCAGAAAAGGGCATCAAATCCTACTAGAGATGGTTTGTGAGCCACCATGTGGTTGCTGGGAATTGAACTCGGGGCCTCTGAAGGGCAGCCAGTGCTCTTAACTGCTGAGCCATCTCCCCAGCTCCAGCAGTACCTCTTGATTGGTCTCTTGGCCAAGAACTGACACAACCAAGATGTTCAGGGCACAGTTTCACACTAGGGCAGGGGAGAGGCCAATGGGTTTCTGCGATGAGGAAGAGCCTTGGCACAAAGGTTAATAGAAATGCATGAACAGGTAGGGCATATGAAACCACCACTGCACTGCTTCAGGCTTCGGAAGCCAAAGGTTCCTGGGGATCTACTTCAGTTGTTAACAGCCTGACAGCAATGGTATTATAAAGATACACCTGTGTCTTCTCTATTTATCAACAGACTCTAAAGAAATGGGACTCACTGCCCCCCACCTCCACCCTCACCCCAGGAAAAGGCACCATCCAGAGGGGGAACTTGTTTCAGAAAGAGATTTCAAACACTTGTAACACGCTATCAGAGTATTTTACATGATGAAACTGAAACCCGGATGGATGACCATGGTAGATGAGACCACATCTTGGCCAGCACAGTCAGTTGAGATTTCCTCTTCCAAGTGTGTCTTCCTTCTGTTAGCTCTATCTCATCCTGCCTATCCTGACTACCATTTCTCTGGACAGTCTCAATGCATCTGCCAATGCTACCTACGAAGTCAAAGATAACAAAGTGCTCTCATCATCTGGTTATTTCATGCCACTTTCTGCATAGTTACGGTCTAAGTGTAATGAGGTTCTTATGTACAAGGATGTACATATCCTTGGCCCTCTAAACTTTAATCTTACTTCAGAAGCTGAAGATCGACCTGAGGGGTTTGCTGTATCTTTTCATCTCTCTTCCCGATGGAGCCACATTTTAATTGGCTTATTGAGGATGGGTGGCTGGATCTCACTTGGGGCACAAGTTGTGATCCCCAAGTTCCGAAACACTATGAATGAAGATCCCAAACACCAGGAAGGTGACTCAATGAGACAGAAAACTCTTTTATTGGTGCAGGTGTCCTCATATGACCAGGCATATTTTGCCCTGCAGAGCAGGACCTCAGCGAACCTGGGCCAGGTTGTGCTTCTTGTAGAGTAGTGCCCGCCGCTTCTCGCGCTCGCGCACGAAGGCGCGCAACCGTGCGGTGGGAAATGTCACGGGTGTAGGCAGGGAGCCGGCAGGGCCCTCCTCTGTCAGCCACCCGCACTGCAAGCAGGTGGTGGCGCATGGACGGCCCCTGAAGCAGAAAGTGGATCAGGGGTCTGAGGGTTAGGCTGGACGGCCGTGGGGTTATAAGGCGAGACGAGTAGAGAGGGAAGGGTTGCACGGTGAGTGAGTCCGGCTAGAGAGGTGAAGGGGGCCGGCGGAGCGGGGCACAGGTTGGGCTTCTTACCAGGGTCGAGAGCACAGCGAACTCTGCAGGAAGGATACAGCACCCCCAGACAACCCTGCATAGCAGCGACTCAACCGAATGAGTCCCTTGCGCAAGCCTTTCTGCAGGTCGCGAGTTCCCTCGCTGCTGACTGGATACTCGCCACTTAGCCTGGGTGGGTGAGAGGCACAGGAGATGCTC